GATAGATGGAGGATGGATGGTTGGATGAATGGATGGATATATAGATGATAGATCAATGGATGAATCAAGGGATAGACAAAAGGATTCATACATGGATGGAAAAGTAGATATATAGATGGTTAGATGAATGGATTAATGGATACATGGTTGGATTGATGGATAGATGAATAGATGGATCATTAAATGGAAGGATGGATAGATAGACAAATAGATTGATAGATGGATGAATTGATGGATGGAAATATGGATTAATAGATGGATGAATGGATAGACAGGTTAATGGATTAATGAATAGATGAATGAATTTATGGATGGATTAATGGATGGATAGTTAGATGAATGGATTGATGGATAGACAGAGATATATGATGGATAAATAGATGGGTGGATTAATGGATGTGTAGATGGAAGATAGATGGATAGATGGATAGATTGATGAATGGATGGATAGATAGTCAAATAGATGGCTGTATGGGTAGATGGATAGATAGATGGATCGATGAATGAATGGAGGGATAGACAGATGGATTCATAGAAGGATAAATGGGTGGATGGATAGATTTATGGATAGATGGACTTATGGGTTGATAAATGCATGTATGAATGAATAGATACATTGATGAATGAATAGATAGATGATGGATAAATGCATGTATTGATGGATTGGTGAATAGAATGATGAATGGATGAATAATTGGACGGATGGATAGATGGATGGATAGACAAATGGATTGATGGATAGATGAATGGATGGAATGATGGATAGATGAATAATTGGTTGGTTGGATGGATGGATGGATAAATGAATAGATGGGTACATGCGAAGATAGAAGAATGGATTGATTGATGGATGGATGGATAGATAGATGAATGAATAGATAAGTGGTTGGATGGATGGATAGATGAATGGATTGATAGATGGGTGGATGAAATGATGGATGGATATTGTTTGGATAGATGAATAGATAGATGGATGGATGGAAGCATAGACAGATGGGTTGATAGATGGATGGATAGATAGATAAATAGATGTATAGATAGAGAAATCAATGGATAGATAGTCAGATGATTGATGAATGGTTGTCTGGCTGGATGGGTAGTAGATGGATGGATAGATGAATGCAGAGGTAGATAGAAGGATGAATTGATGGATGGATAGATGGATGGATGGACGGAAAAATGGATGAAGGAATGGAGGGAATGATAGACAGATTAATAGATGGATGGATGGATGGATGGATGGATGGATGGAGGCATGGACAGATGCATGGATAGTTTGGTGCATGGATAGATTGATGAATGGATGGATGGATAATTGTTTGGGTATATGGACAGACAGATGGATGAATGGATAGAAGGATAGACAGATGGGTTGACATATGGACAGATGAATGGATGAAAAATGGATGGATGGATGTAGAGAGGGATGGATAGACAGATGCATCAATGGATAGATGGATGGATGCAGAGAGAAGAATGGATTGATGGATAGATAGATAGATGGAGTAATGGATGGATGGATAGATACATAGACAGATGCATAAATAGGTAGATGGTTGGTTGGATGGATGGATAGATGGATAAGTGGAGGGAATGATGGATGGATAAATGGGTAGATGGTAGAATGGATGGAAGGATACATGATTGCATGGGTGGATGGATAGATTGATGGGATGATATACAGATAGATTGATAGATGATAAATAGATACATGGATAAATAGGAGGGAATGATAGAAAGATGGATGGATGAATGAGTTGATGGATATATAGATGGATGGAAGGAAGAGTAGATGGATAGGTGGATGAATAGAAGTATAGATGGACAGATGGATGAATGTATAGACAGATGGATAGATGAAATGATGGATGAGTGAATGGAGAGACAGACAGATGGATTGATAGATGTATGAATGGATAGATAGATACATGGATAGATGGATGGATGGATGGATAGATAGATGGATGGATAGAGAGATCGATGGATAGATAAATAGATGGATTGATGGATAGATAGACAGATGGATCAATGGATAATTGGTTGGATGGATGGATAGATAGATGGATGAATAGATGGATAAATAGATGGATAGATGGACAGAGGAATAGATAGATGGGTGGAAATGATGTATGGAATGATGGATAGACAGATGGATGGATGGTTGAATAAATAAAGAGTTGGATGAATAGATGGATGGAAGATAGACAGATGGATTGAGAAATGGATGAATGGATGGTTGAATGGGTAGATAGATAGATGTATTAATAGACGAATGGATTAATAGATAAGATGAATGGATGTATAGATTAATGAATGGATAGATGGATGGATAGAGAGATGGATGAATGCATAGATAGATAGTTTGGTGCATGAATGGATAGAAGGATGGATGCATAAATAGAAGAGTGGATTGATGGATGCATGAAATAATGGATGGATGAATGGAAAGATAGATGGATAGTTAGATGGTTGGATAGATAGATGGATAGATGATGGACAGATGGAATGATAGATGAATGGATGAATGGATAGATAGATGAATGAATGGATGGATGCATGCATATATACACAGACTGATGGATGGATGGATAGATAGATATATGGATGGATAGATGGATGGATAGACAGATCGATAAATGGATGGGTAGATGGTTGTATAGATAGACAAATGGATTGATGGATGATAGTTGTTTGGATGGATGGATAGATAAAGAGATGGATTGATAGATGGATGGAGATAGATGGATGGGATTATAGATAATGGATAAAGAGGTAAATAAATAGATGGATGGATGGATAGATAGGTAGATGGGTAAATTGATAAATGGATGGATAGATGGATGTATGGAATGATAGATGGATAGATGGTTGGTTGGATGGATGGATGAATAGATAGGTAGATGAATATTTTGGATGGGTGGCTAGATTATTGTATGGATGGATAGATAGATACATGGATAGATAAATGGATGGATATAAAGATTGATGGATAGATAAATAGATAGGCTGATTGATGGATAGATAGATGGATGGAGGGATGGAAGGAGGGGTGGATTGATGGATGGATGGATAATTGGTTAGATGTGTGGATAGATAGATGGATCAATGAAATGACTGATAAACTGAGGGATAGATGAGTAAATAGATGCTGTATGCATAGAAGGATGGAAAGAAAGGAGGATGGATGGATATGTGGATGGCTGGATATATGGATGGATGGATGGATGGATGGATGGATAAATGAATGGATGGATGGATAAATGAATGGATAAATAAACAGATGGATAGATGGATTAATGGATAGATGGATGGATGGGATGATGGATGATGGATAATTAGTTGAATCAATGGATAGACAAATTGATGGATGGATATATATGTTTGGTGTGATGGAAGGATAGATGGATGAATGGATGGATAGACAGATGGGTGGATGGATCGATGGATGGGTCAGTGAATGGATGGTGGATGGATAGATGGATGGATGGATAGATGGATTGAGGTGGATTGAAGAACAAATGGATAGATCAATGTATAAATGGATGGATGGACTGATGAAGATGGATGGGTGGATGAAGGATAGATGGATGAACAGGTATATAAACAGATGAATTGATGGATGGATGGATATATAGATGAATGGATTGATGAATGGATGAATGGATGAATGGTTATATTGATTTATGAATTGATGGATGCATGGGTTAATAAATGAATAAATGATAGATGATGAATGGATAGATAGATAGATGAATAGATGGATGGATAGATAGATGGATGTATGGATCAATGGTTAAATAGAAGAATGGGTAGATAGATGGATGGATGGAGAGGTAGATGGATGGATGGGTGGGTGGATGGATGGATGGATGGATGAATGGATGGAAGGAAGGAAAGAAGTAGATGAATAGATAGATGGATATATGGATAGACAGAATGATGGGTGGATGGGTTCATGAATAGATAGATGGATATATACATGTTTGAATGGATGGGTAGATAGGTGGATGGTTAGACAGATGGATGGATAGATGGATGGATGGATGGATGGATGGATAGATGGATGGTTTGATAGATGGATAAATGGATGGATAGATTGACAGGTAGATGGATAGATGGATGGATGGATGGATGGATGGATGAACCGATGAATGGATTGACAGTTGAATGGATGGATGAATGAATAGGTAGATAAATAAATGGATAGGTGGATGAATAGGTAGAGAGATGGGTGGATGGATAGATGTATGGAGATGGATAGATGGATGGATGATGAATAGATGGGTAGATGGATAGATGAATGGGAAGATGGATGAATGGATGGATGGATGGTAGGATAGATTAATGGATAGATGGATAGTTGGATGGATGGAGAGATGGATGATTATAATCACAGATGTATGTATAGATGGATAGACAGATGGATAGAAGATGTATGGATGTATGGATGAATGCATAGGTGGATAGATGGATAAATGAATGGAATGATAGATTAATGGATGGATGGAATGATAGATGGAATAATGTATAGGTGGACTGATGGATGGATGGATAGATGGATGGATAAATAGGTGGATGGTTGGATAGATAGGTGAATGGTTGGATGGATAAATGGATGGATGGATAGATAGATGAGTGGATGTATGGATGGGTGGTAGAATAGATTGATGTTTGGATGGAAAGATAGATGGTTAGATGCATGGATGGATGTATAGATGGATACAAAGATGGATGGATGGATGGATGGATGGATGGTTTTGTAGGTAGATGGATGGATGGATAGATAGAATAATGGATAGGTGGATGGACCTTAGATAGAATAATAAATAGGTGGATGGACAGATTGGTTGATGGTAGGGATTGGATGAATACATTGAAAATACATATAGCATAGTGTCTAACTTTTGGTAAGATATCAAAGAATCCTATTCAAACATTATAAATTTGACATATTTTATAATTTGCAGTCGAATTATAAAATTTCAAAATCTCACTCTTACTTTGAGATCTTTGTTTTTCTAACATGTCTGTTAAGCTGTTTAATGATTTTTTCTCAATAAATTCCTTAATCTCCAACATTGTTGCCCCGGCCAGAGGAACAACTGGTGTTCTTGAAGTGCTTCGTCTAGAAATTCCACAAAGAGAAAAAAAATTAATGAAGATTAAAAAAAAAACATCAGATGGATGTGGGGGCACATGCCTGTAATCCCAGAGGCTTGGGAGTCTGAGGCAGGAGGATCATGAATTCAAAACCAGCCTCAGAAAAAGCGAGGCCCTAAGTAACTTAGTGAGACCCTGTCTCTAAATAAATACAAAAAAAGGATAAGGGATGTGGCTCAGTGGTCAAGTACCCCTGAGTTCAATCTCTAGTATCTCCCCCCCAAAAAAAAATTGCACCTCAGAAGGTGACCATTTTGAGGACTGCATGCAGAGACCACCATGCTTGAGGCACATGTGCATATAAACACAAGCTTTTCTTTCTTTCTTGTTCTTTAATTTTGCCTGGGTTGCACGAGTTCCAACTTAACCACAATTACTAAATTAAAGAGAAAACTTGCCCTGAGTTGTAACAGGTCTCATCCAAGAGGGGCTCTCTTCCCACCCCACCCACAAAATAACAGGATACCATCCTTACCGAATTGAAGAAAGATCATCCATTTTGAGTGACTTTTCATAGTCCTCATTGTTCTTGGAAATGATTTCAGGTTCTGCTTGGTGAGAACCTAATAATATTAGCAAATGTCACCAAAGTTCTTATTCCATGCTGATTCAGTAAGAAACAGGGACCCCCTTACACATTTCTGTAATGCTGGCCTTGAGGCAGAAGGCCAGGTGTGTGGTAAGCACCCCAAAAAAGAAATGTTGGGGCTGGGGTGGTGGCTCAGTGGTAGAGCACTTGCCTAGCATGCGTGAGGCACTGGGTTCAATTCTCAGCACCATGTATAAGTAAATAAAATAAAAGTCCATTGACAACTTAAAAATATTTTTCAAAAAAAGGTTTGTTAGTCATTACCAAGCGCATGGATAATGAATATGTGGATGAGACTCATTCTAATTATTTGGACAAATGGAGGCCATCACAGAGAAAAAAGAAGAAAATGTATTACATATTAAATTGTCCACTTTGGTACTGTTTAGACCTGGGCACTCTTCAGATGCAAAAAAAAAAAAAAAAATCTATTGGGAATATTAAGCAATTTTCATTCCTATTAGCTGAGGGAATAGTAAGATGTTTAGGGAAATTTTTTAAGGAAAGTACATGTGGTAACATATTAGTGATCTCAGAATATAGTAATATGACATGCATCCTCATCTTATAGATGAGAAATTTGCTTTCATATTCATCTAGGGTCTGGGGTTTTAGCTCAGTGGTAGAGGGCTTGCCCAGGGATACTCCACAGCAGGTCCAACCACCAGAATGGGAAGTTACACCCCCATATACATGATATGTCAAAATGCACTCTGTCATGGAGAGCTATAAAGAACAAATTTTTAAAATTAAAGGAAAAAAAAACACAAAGAAGTTTGTTTTCCTATGCTGAGAAAAAATGTTACACAGATGGCCATAGGTGGTGGAATGATTATTTTTCCTTTTTAACTAATTTTCTGTATCTGCTGAATTTTCTTTATAAATCCACTTCTATCACTTCTAGGGTCAGCAACGTTTCTTGCAAGTCATACAACAGATGAAAATTAAAGAAAAAGAACCAACAATAAAATTGATGGAGGGAGCAAGAGCGCAGGGCAGGGCCTTGCAGGATGGACCACGCTGTGGGCAGCTGCCGCTACATGGGAGGGACTGCAGTGCACCTTTACCTGCCACTACACGGGAGGGATTGCAGTGCATGTTTACGGCCCGGCGGCTCCATCGATGGTTACCCCCCCACTACAATCTCCCTCACAGCTTTTCCACAAAGGTACTGCTACTCACCTGGAAAAAGTTTTGAGTGTTTCTCTGCTTTTTCCGGTTTTCCTAAGAGACGCTCCTCATCCCACTCCTCTTTGTTGATGCTGGCTTTCTCGTGGCTCAGATCGCACTGTCTTCTCTGATCTAAAACCAAAAGTCTCACTTCCTCTAGAATGAGGGAGAAAGGATCGTGGACTCAGTCGTGGACTGCAGACCCTCTACCTCACCATCGCTTGACTCAAGATGGACATGAAGCAATAGGTAAGATAGATGAGGCCGAGCACAGGGCTGTCATCCCAGAAGCTGGGGAGGCTGAGGCAGGAGGATGGCAAGTTGGAGGCCAGCCTCTGCAACTTAGCTGAGGTCCCCAGCTACTCAGTGAGACCCTGTCTCTAAATAAAATATACAAAGGGCTGGGGATGGGGCTCAATGGTTAAGTGTCTCCCAGGTTCAATTCCTAGTACCCCCCCCCAAAAAAACAAAACAAAAATTATAGACCACTATGCTAATAAGTTCTGGCTCATGAATTACCCTGCTGAATAAATTGCCTCTTTTCTTTGTGATTTGAAACAGACTTCTTAAAGCGTTCCTTCACTCCCAAGAAACAAAGAGTGTATATCGGGAATCCTGGGACCAAAGGCAGGATTTGGAGCCACAGGTACTCCAGACCCCACAGGAAACTATTAACAATGATCACCTCTGGAGAGACATCATGCGATACTGATTTCTTTTTTCTCCTTTTGGTACTCTGTTGCTAAGTTGTTTTTACAAAGTTAATATGCACAGCCTTTATTAGTGGGAAAAACACAAATCACAATAGCCCAACCATGGATGGAACCAGCCTAGGTGTCCATCAACAGATGAATGGATAGAGAAAATGTGGTATCAGTATCTATACACTATGGAGTGGGGTTTTTATCTTATTATTATTTTATTTTATTATTTATTATCATTTTATTATTATTTATCATTTTATTATTATTTTATTATTGTTGTTGTTTTTGGTACCAGGGATTGAACCCAGGGTTGCTCAACCACTGAGTCCCAGCCACATCCCCTTTTTTATATTTTATTTAGAGACAGGGTCTCGCTGAGTTGCTCAGGGCCTGGCTAAGTTGCTCAGGCTGGCCTCCAACTTGCCATCCTCCTGCCTCAGCCTACTGAGCCTCTGTGATGACAGGTGTGTGCCACTGTGGCTGGGCATAATGATATTTTTATTCAGCCATACAGAAAAAATGAAATTATGGCATTTGCAGGAAAATGGATGGAACTTGAGAACATTATGTTAATCAAAGCAAGCCAAACTCAGAAAATCGAGGGTCATATGTTTTCTTTTATGTATGGGAGCTACCGAGGAAAATCAAAAAGGTGGGGGGTGTCATGAGACCAGTACAGTAGAGGAACCAGACGGAGGGAGAGAAGAGCAGGGAGAGGGGAACGATATTGGCCAAAAGACACTGGGTGTGAATATGTAATAGCAAATCCCATCATTATACATAATTATGGGGCTGGGGATAGAGCTCGGTTGGCAGAGAGCTTGCCTTGCATGCATAAGGTCCTGGGTTCAAGCCCCAGCACCACCAAAAAAAAAAGAAAAAGAAAAGAAAACATAATTACAATGCACCAATAAAAATATGGGAAAAGAGCCCTGTGTTGGCACACACCTGTCATTCCCAATGGCTGGGGAGGCTGAGGCAGGAGGATGGCAAGTTGGAGTCCAGCCTCAGCAACTGAGCAAGACCCTAAGCAATTCAGCAAGACCCTGTCTCTAAATAAAATATAAAAAGGGCTGGGGAGGGGGCTCAGGAGTTAAGCACCGCTGGGTTCAATCCTGGGTACCCGCCCCGCCCCCCCAAAAAAAATGTAGTTTGGTGAATCTCCACTAGGGGGCAGTGTTGGCCTCCTGGGGACATCTAGAAACGTCTAAAATGTTTTCAAGGGTCACTGTGAGACGCCATTGCTGACGGCTAGTGTAGAAAGACCCTGGATGCTACTAAACACCCTACCATGCCCAGGAAATGCACTACAAGCAGGATTTTGCCTGGACCAGAATGTCAACAGTGCCAAGAAAAGATCAAAAACGAGAGGCCCAAGTCCCCAGTGGCAGAACAGGTCCCCTTGAGAAGATAGGCCAGAAAGTGGGTGAAAGCCGGCTTCCCAGTATGCACCGTTGGTTCCAATTCTACCATTAAAACAAAAGTGATGATCTTACTTTGCTCACTGTAGAATGGGGAGAATTATATTTGTCTGCAAGTAAAAAATAATAATGATTCTCTTACACACGTTTTCTTATTTTTTTTTTCTTTTCTTTTTTTTACCAGGAATTGAACCCAGGGGCGCTTAACCCCGGAGCCCCATCCCCAGCCTCTTTTTTATATTTTATTTAGAGACAGGGTCTCGCTAAGTTGCGTAGGGCTAATTTGCTGAGGCTGGCCTCCACCTTGCGATCCTCCTGCCTCAGCCTCCCAAGCTGCTCCAGGCAAAAGTTACAAATCTTGAAACATTTTATATTTCAGGGTTTTGGATGAGGGTTACTCAAACCATAGGGAGAAATCCCAAGCTTCCAGAAACATCTCAAGAGTTAACACTGAAATGCCTGACTTACCGAAAGATCCTGCTTCTTCCAAATAACTGGCAGCCTTTAATCGGTAATACCTGACTTTCTTTGAAATCTTGTCCTTGGTGTCCCAGAGCCTCAAGGTTATTTTATGGAAATTCATTTTCTTTAGCAGTTCCTTCGTCACATTGACGTTAAAACTTTGGCTCCAAGACACCCATAATTTGCCACCTTCAAGCCATGGCTTAATAGTCTGTATTAAAAAAAAAAAAAAAGGAGATATATATATCTCTCTTAAGAGAAAGTCATGTGATTGCAGGTTGTCAGCAGGGCTGGGTGGCCTGGGACCCTGAATTCCTAGCAAGCCCCAGGTGATGCTCACCCCGCGAGTCTCTGGAACACATTTTGCCGCAGTGCATAGTATTCTACTTGCCAGGACTCATGCGCGCACACACCACACCACACACCTTTACTCCGGAGTCCAGGAACACCTTGGCCATTCCGGGAAATATCACCATGTCCACGATCTTAGGTTCCTCGTCATCTGGCAGGAGGAAATACTCAATGTGGTAGAAACGACGAAGCTTTGCGATGTGATTGTCTAGTTTGGGGTGTTTCTTGAATTTTTCCAGAATGTTTAGATATTTTCCTTTAATTCCTAGAAGGGGTTAAGTTGAATGAATGAGCTTTGTTTTCAGTACGTGGGGGGAAAAGCAGGCCTCTCGCCACAGCCCCCTGGAGCCAAGTGCTATGGGAAGTGCCTCCCAGGGGCCCTGCATTGAAACTTTGATCACCAGCCTGTGCGGGCTGCTGGAATGTTCTAGAATGGTTTAAGAGGTAGAGAGCCTCGTGGGAGGAACTTAGGTCATTGGAATGTGGCCTTGAAAGGAACATTGGGGCCACAGGTGGCATCTGCCTGTCATCCTATGACTTGGGAGGCTGAGTCAGGAGGATCTCAAGATGGAGGCCAGCCTCAGCCACTTAGCAAGGCCCTAAGCAACTCAGTAAGACCTTGTCTCCAAATAAAATATAAAAAGGGCTGGGGACGGGGCTCAGGGGTTAAGCACCCTTGGGTTCAATCCTTGCCCCCCCCCAAAAAAAAAAAAAAAAAACTTATGCTAAGTTGCTACATTGCTGAGGCTGGCCTCCAACTTTTGATCCTCCGGCCTCAGCCTCCAGAGCTGCTGGGATGGCAGGCGTGCCCCACGGGCATCCATAAAAAAATGCAGACTGACTGGGAGCACATCACCTGCTTCTCAGTAGCACAACCCACTTTTTTTTTTTGCAAAATGAATTGGAATTCTGCTTGACCACCTACCAAAATTCACCAGGAATGCCAGAGAGATAATAAATTTGCAGGGGACCACCTGGGGGACGTCAGGCTCAAAGGGGCTGACGTGCTCTTCTTCCAAGGAGCCAAGGGTGCGGTAGCGACCGTCATAGTCGTACTCCTGCACCCTGGTCCCCAGGTTATCCTCCACCACACAGTCGTTGGTGGTCTGGAAAAAGCTGTGTAGAGAAGTCCGGGGGTCGATGATGGCCGCGTCCTCATCCTCCCACTCCCAGGCGTTCAGCGACATGATGCTGGGCTGGCTGTCCCGGCTGGGGGAGAAGAAAGGTGCAGTCACCCTCTGCCTGCAGGAGGGAAGCCCCGCCTCCTTGGGGAAGCCCCGCCCCTTCTCTCCTTCCCCTCTTCTCCTGCAGAGCTGTCCCCTCACCCTACCCAATGCCAGACATTGAATGGGCATTGGATGCTGGCCTGAGGGGACAAGTTCAAGATCTATAGAGGTAGCCCAGCACAGGCGGTGGCTCATGCCTGTCATCTCAGGCTGGGGAGGCTGAGGCAGGAGGACCGCAAGTGGGAGGCCAGCCTCAGCCACTGAGTGAAGCCCTAAACAACTCAGGGAGACCCTGTCTCTAAATAAAAAAATAGAAAGGGCTGGGGACGGGGCTCAGTGGGTGAGCACCCCCCTGGGTTCAATATCTGGTCCCCCCCAAAAAAAGAAAATCTATGGAGACACAATCCCGGGGACTGTTGAGGCGGGCGGGGAGGCCGGGCAGGGAGGCCGAGCTGGGAGGCCGGGCTGGGACATCTGGAGTGAGGAGACACATAGGGACCGGGGTCCTCCAAGACGCGGGGTACCTGTGCGCGGAGTGGCAGCCCCTCGGCTCAGCCCTTGGCCTCAGTTGCCCCGGGGACTTGACAGCAGCGAAAAGCCCCGCAGGCGGGCGCAGCAGCTGGGAGTCCCGCAGGCCCTGGCCCTTTGGCTTTGTTTGGCCGTTGCTAGGAGACGGGCGGGCACTCGAGGCTAGGGGCGGGGCTAGGGGCGGGGCCTCGGCGCCCAATCAAAGTCTGTCAAACTGGTGCGTTGGAGTTCCTAGACCAGTTGTGCTTTCATCCGTTCAGTCTTTAAGGAGCTCCTACTCTGGGCATAAGCACTTATTATGCGCCTGATGTTTTTCTTTTTCTTTTTTTTTTTTTTTTTTTGGAGGGGGGTACCAGGGATTGATCTCAGGGGCACTGAACCCCTGAGCCCCCTCCCCAGCCCTATTTTGTATTTTATTTAGAGACAGGGTCTCCCTGAACTGCTTAGGGCCTCGCTTTGGCTGAGGCTGGCTTTGAACACTCGATCCTCCTGCCTCAGCCTCCAGAGCTGCTGGAACTACAGGGGGGCACCACCGTGCCCTGCTATACAGACAGGGAGCTAACACTCTGGGCAATGTTGGAGCTCTTAGGGTTTGGGTCTAGAATGTCCCCCCAAAACTTGTGTGTTGGAAGCATGGTACCCCCATGCAGCAAGGTTCAAAAATGGGGCTTTTAAGCAATGACTAGTTCACAAGGGCTTTGACCTTATCCATGGGTTAATCCATTGAAGGCTAAATGCATTACTGGGGGTGGGGTCTGCCTAGTTAAAGGAAGTAGGTCACTGGAGAAGTACCCTCCCCGGTGGTGTGGCTCTGTCTGTCTCTGTCTGTCTGTCCCTCTCTCTCATTCCTTTTCCTGGCTGCCATGAGCTGAGCCTATTTCTTCCCTAGATGTGCCTAAGAATCCCCCAGAACAAATATCAGAAATTAGATTCTGGCCCATATCTGTAATACCAGCACCTCCGGAGGCTGAGGCAGGAGGATCGCAAGTTGGAGGCCAGCCTCAGCAACTTAGCCAGGCCCTCAGCAACTTAGCAAGACCCTGTCTCTAAATAAAAAATTTTTAAAAAGGGCTGGGGATGTGGCTAGTGGCTAAGCACTCCTGGTTCAATCTCTGGTACAAAAAAAAAAAAAATGGTTAGGCTGTACTTTGATAATGAATCAGGTGGGGAAAAGAGTGTTTGTACTCTTTGACCCAATATTACAACACCCAGGATCCAGAACAAACTGTTCTCCATATTATTTTAATGAAGAAAACGTTGAAAACCACTTCTTGGCCAGGTACAGGGGCGCACATCTGTAATCGCAGCAATTGAGGAGGCTGAGGCAGGAGGATCGCAAGTTGGAGGCCAGCCTCAGCAAAAAGACCCTAAGCAACTCAGTGAGAGATCCTGTCTCTAAATTAAATTAAAAAAGAGGGCTGGGGGTGTGGCTTAGGGGTGTTGAGTGCCCCTGGTTAAGTCCCCAGTTGGAAATAAAAAAAGGAGGAGGAGGAAGAGGATGAGGAGGAGGAGGAGGAGGAAAGGAAAGGAAACCACTTCTTGGGACAGACACACCCGGGTAACTCGATGAACTATGGAGAAAAGTTAACGATGGCAAAGCTGTTTATTTTATTTTATTTTATTTTTTAAACGGGGCGGGATGGAGGAGAATACCTCTTTTTTTTTTTTTTTTTTGAATTTTTAATGTTTATTTTTCAGTTTTTCGGCGGACACAACATCTTTGTTTGTACGTGGTGCTGAGGATCGAACCCGGGCCGCACGCATGCCAGGCGAGCGTGCTACCACTTGAGCCATATCCCCAGCCCCAAAGCTGTTTATTTTAATGCTTGGTTCATGTGCAAACGGATCTGTGCTTTTTATGTCAACTTCACTGAGGTACAATTGACATCCTGTAGAATCGTCCCCTTCAAACCCTCATGAATGCAAAAAGTCTGGAAATACATACTGCCCAAAAGAACCAGGGTCCCCTCTTGGTGACAGGATGGTGGATTCCTTTGCCTGATAGCATTTGTCTAGACTTTGAACAATGCACAGTTGGAATCGCCTCCAAGGATACAGAAGTGACTTCAGAGAAAGGTTTCTTTGCCAGGGCCTCTCCCCCTCCCCCCCTCCCCCAGCTCATACAAAGGAACCCTGGGAGACCCAGGAGTTTGCTCACTTTGAACCTCAAACAAAAACCTTATGGATGCAATTGGAATGATTTCCAAGGCCCCTGGTAACCGGGCCCCACAGAGGGACAGGCCCGACAGAGTGCCATTATACCCCAGGCCCCCCGAGGTGCAGGGCAACTGCTGTGACCAGGGAAGGGTCTCCAGAGCCAGATTCTGAGAGGCTTTCTTTTCAATATTGACTGGGCCAAGAAAGTGACTGTTCAAAGGATTCCTTTAGCACAAGCAGTTACCAGCGTGGTGACAGGAGACAGAGGCATGTCACTTGTTTGCCTGGGCGACCAAGTCTCAGCAATACTAGGAAATCAAATCAGATTCCCTAGATGTGCCTAAGAATCGCCCAGAACAAATATCAAAAAATTAGATTCTGGCTGTTAGTTGTTAACCCATGCCCATAATACTAGCACCTCTGGAGGCTGAGGCAAGAGGATCACAAGTTGGAGGCCAGCCTCAGCAACTCAGTGAGACCCTGACTCTAAATAAAATACAAAATAGCCCCGTCCCCAGCCCTTTTTATATTTTATTTAGAGACAGGGTCTCACTGAGTTGTTTGGGGCCTTGCTATCGTTGAGGCTGGCCTCCAACTTGCGATCCTCCTGCCTCAGCCTCCAGAGCCACTGGGTGTGCACCACTGTTGCTACAGTTACACACACATTAACATTGCATATAATATAGTGTGGCTGGCTGTGTTTGTTCATCCCCAATTTTTTCCTGGCTCATGTCCTTAGACACCAGTTCCTCATTACTATAAACAATGACGCAGTGACCATCCTGTGGCCCTGCGTTTTTCTAAAGTAGAAGCCAAGGAGTGGAAATGGCACAAAACTTTTTGTCCACTTTCTATTAGTTTTATAATTTTTTTTTAATGTAGAAAATGGTTTTGAGGTGAGGCAGCTAACTCCTTTCCAATCCAGGTGCACCTTGGACAAAGTTTTCAAGAATGAATGGGAATTTGCTGAGCTGGATACTGTGGCAGAGACACAATTTTAGTGGAATGATTTTATTTATTTAAATAAAATAAATAAACCACTAAGCCCCATTCTCAGCCCTATTATTATTATTATTATTATTATTATTATTACTATAATTGATTTTGAGAAAGCATGTTGCTAAGTTGTTTAGGGCCTCGAAAATTGTTGAGGCTGGCAGCAAACTTGCAATCCTCCTGCCTCAGCCTCCCAAACCACTGGGCCACCACACCCAACAGGATTTGATATTTAAAACCACAAATGCAAGAGTCTGCCCTTCTAGTAGACAAGGATAGTGGAGCCTCTTGCTCCAAAGTGGCTGGGTAATAAAAAGACTTAAAAGCAACCTTTGAAGCTCATCTCGGGCCAGAATTGAAACTCAGGTTCCCAAGGCCAATTTCCCAGGCAGGTGGAACTGCTTTCTGGGGAGTCCAGTCCCCCAGCCTCCAAGGCTCATGCGCGCACTCAGCTCTAGGCGATCCCAGGCTTCATGTAGTGGCTTCCCTCCCCCGGGCTGTCCCTCACCTTGTCCCCTCTCCTGCTAAATCCGTTTCCCCTTCTTTTCTAGTTCCCAGATGGGGCTCTCTGCACCACCACGGCCGAGCGAGAAGAGTCTTTGGGGAGCTGGTGGCTGAACTTTTGGGGACAAACGTCTCCGCGCAGAGTGGAGGGTGGGGACCCAGCCACTCCGACCGCCCCCAAGTGGGAGGCAAAGAGCAGACGCTGGAAACGCCCCCGAGGGGCTGAGGACACGGGTGCGCCCGGGTCGCAGGGATCGCTCCAAAGCAACTGAGGTCAACCCAGGGTTTCTGCGCATCTGCCACTGGATACGGTCCAACCAGACGGCCATCGCCAAGCTCCTCCTTTCGGGAAACTCTGGGGCCGCCCCTGGAAGTGGCGGGGCGGAGGAACAGGAGCCAGGGAACCGAGGGCCGCCGCGATGGAGCCGGCCGGCCCGAGCGCGGAGGAGGCTGGCGCGGAGGCCGCGGTTGGAGACCCGTATCGGAGGCCGGCGCGGCGCACGCAATGGCTGCTGAGCGCCCTGGCTCACCACTACGGCCTGGATCGCGGCGTGGAGAACGAGATCGTGGTGCTGGCCACCGGCCTGGACCAGTACCTGCAGGAGGTCTTCCACCACCTGGACTGCCGAGGCGCCGGTCGCCTTCCGCGCTCCGACTTCCGCGCGCTCTGCGCCGTTTTGGGGCTGCGCGCCGAGGGCGCCGCCTCCGGGGAGGCCACCGGGGATGCGATCCCTGGAGACTCCGGGGATGGGACCTCCTCCGGGGATGTGGCCGCTGCTGATGGAGACGCGGACGCCCAGGAGGAGGCGCGTCTGGCGCTGCGCGCGGAGCCCCCGGAGCTCACCTTCCGCCAGTTCCACGCGCGCCTCTGCGGCTACTTTGGCACCCGCGCGGGTCCCCGGCTGCCCCGCGGAGCGCTCAGCGAACACATCGAGACGCAGATCCGCCTGCGCCGCCCGCGTCGCCGCCGCCGCCGCCAGCACCCGACCCGGGTGCAGGGTCCCGACGAGGGTGGCCCCGAGGGCCCGGAGGGCGAGCGCGTGGCGAGGCTGGAGGAGGAGAACAGCAGCCTCCGCGAGCTGGTGGAGGACCTGCGCGCCGCGCTGCAGAGCAGTGACGCCCGCTGTCTAGCGTTGCAGGTGCGCGCCCGCAGGCTGGTGGCCAAGGTGGTATCGTGGGTGGCATCGGAACTGCAGGCTGGGCCCAGGGTGGGCAGAAGACGAGGAAGGGAAGAGACGGCAGCCCCACGCCATCCCACCCCCTTTCAGCCCCCTTGCTTTCTGTGCCAATCCTGCTCCCTGGCACTCCTATCCCACCGCCTCCAAACCTGCCCCACACAACCACCCCCAGCTCTCTGTCCCCATTTCTGCCCATCTTATCCACACACCCCTCTTTTTTTTTTTTTTTTTTAGTACCAGGGATTGAACCCAGGGGGTGCTCACCCTCTGAGCCCCGTCCCCAGCCCTTTTTATATTTTATTTAGAGACAGGGGCTCGCTGCGTTGCTCAGGGCCTTGCTAAGTGGCTGAAACTGGCCTCCAACTTGGGATCTTCCTGCCTCAGCCTCCCCTGATGTTGGGATGACAGGCATGGGTCACCAGGCTGACAGAGAGAGAGAGAGAATTTTTTAATAATTATTTTTTAGTGGACACAACATCTTTATTTTATTTGTATGTGGTGCTGAGGATCAAACCCAGCGCCCCGCGCATGCCAGGCGAGCGCGCTACCGCTTGAGCCACATCCCCAGCCCCCTGCCTCAACTTTATATGAACATCCTTCGTCCCTCGCCAGTCAACTGGCCAGGAGGGGGGCAGAGAGGATGGTCCTGATGCAGACAAGTGTCAAGGTGCTGGCTTTCAGTGGCCATATGGGTATGGAAGCCGAAGGGCAGGTGGCAGAGCCCAGGGTGGAGATAGGACAGTATCCCCAGGACGTGAAATCCCTAGGATGTGGGTGAAAAGATGGTTCCTGATCATGCATTATCATTTATTGGGCACCTACTGTGTGCTAGCTGTTGGGCTCTGGGGACACCGAAGTGAACAGGACAGACAAACCCCGCCCCTCCTCAATGAGCCTCAAGGAAGCTGGAATCTTCCCGTTTGAGGTGCCCAAGCTCAAGTCTGGGGCATGAGAAGCGCCAGGTTGAATGGTACAAATGCAGGACAGAGGCCAAGAAAAAGTCACATAGTTTAGGAATCGTTGTCACCATGCAAAGGACAGAATATGGGCTTCGTGCCTCTAAAGGGGGAACCGTTCAAGTTCCAGCCTCATCAGGGACATTCTGAGTACTGAATGAATCCAGACACTAGGCTCTTATAGGAAACCCTGGCACTGGTAAGCAGAGCGTGCAATTAACATGCGCCACTGTTTTGCCAACGTGCTTCTGCATGCGCAGGAATGGGGGCAGCCGTCGTGGCTGGCATCCGTGTCGTGCATCTGGTACCAGGGCTCACCTCCTGCCCCCTGGTCCCCTGATCCCGCAGGTTGGCCTCTGGAAGAGCCAGGCAGGCGCGCACGAAGAGGGATGCGGCAGGCCCGAGGCGGTGGCGCGGGAGCTGCGACAGGCGCAGGGAGCGCTGGCGGCGGCGGAGGCCCGCGCTGGGAGGCTGCAGCAGGGCCAGGCCGAGGTGCGGCGACGCGCAGAGGAGGCCCGGCAGGCGGTGCTGCGCAGCCTGAGCCGCGTGCGGGAGCTGGAGGCGCTGGCACAGCAGGTGCCCAGCTTGCAGCGCTGGGTGCAGCAGCTGGAGGCGGAGCTACAGCGCTACAGGTGAGAGGGGGTGTGACCAGGATTCGCCCAACCAGCATTACATGGGTGAGGGGGCGTAGTTAGAATACGCCCAATCAGCGCTAAGAGGGGGCGTAGCCAAGAAGCGCCCAATCAGCTGTATGCGTGAGAGGGGTGTGGTCAGGATGCACCCAACCAGCGCTACCGGGAAGGAGAGGGGCGTGACCAGGATGCGCCCAACCAGCACTACATGGATGAGGGGGCGTGGTCAGAATACGCCCAATCAGCGCTAGGATAAAAGGGGGCGTGGTTAGGAAGCTCCCAATCAGCTACGCGTGAGAGGTATGTGGTCTGATGCACCCAACCAGCGCTACCGGGAGAGGGGCGAAACCAGGATGCGCCCAACCAGCACTACATGGGTGACGGGGTGTGGTTAGAATGCGCCCAATCAGAGCAACACGTGTGAGCGGCGTGGCCAGGATGCCCCAACCAGCGAGGGGGCGCGGTTAGAAATCGCCCAATCAGCGCTAATATAAGAGGGGGCATGACCAGGAAGCGCCCAATCAGCTCACGTTTCCCCAAGCTCAGCCGTGCATTGTGCCCCCCAGCCAGGGGTTTCCAGGTTTGCTCCTGCACTCTGTCGTCTCCTCATTCATTCATCAGTTCTTGGGTTTTTTAAATCCTTCGCGACTTTTCTTCTTGTTCTGCATCTGTGCATCCAGCCTTCTGGTCACATCCATTCAGAGATCCCAATGAGTGGACGGATTCTTCTTCAATTTTTTTTATTCATTCTTTTTAGTTGCACATGACAGCAGGATGTATTTTGACTGTCCTGCCTACGTGGAGTATAACTTGGCATTTTTATGGTTGACATGATGTGGAGTTAGGATGTTTTGAGGGGTTTTTTATTTTTTATTTTATTATTTTTTACTATTTTATTTTTTATTTATTTTATTTTTTATTTTTATTTTTTATTTTTATTTTATTTTATTTTATATTTTTTATTTTATTTTATATTGTATTTTTTATTTTATTTTATTTCATATTTTATTTATATTATATTATATTATATATATTTTTTGGAACCAAGGATGGCACCCAGGGGCACTTTACCATGGAGCCCCATCCCCAGCCCTTTTTACCTTCTATTTAGAGACAGGGTCTCTCTGAGTTGCTAACTTGCGGAGGCTGGCTTTGAACTCGCCATCTCAGCCTCCCTGCTGGCTGGGATTACAGGCGGGCACCACCGCCCACCGTTGATCCTTCTCCTTAGGAATAATCTATATTCTTATCCTGAGGCTATCAGTGTGTGGGAGCCCTGAGTCATGGTGGCGTGCCTTGTTGAAGTGAGGCAGCACCATGAGGTGGGTCCTGTTAGGTTCCTGTCCTTCCACCGAGGAAACAGGTTTATCATGACCCTTGCTCTAGCTGGACCAGGTTCAAATCCCGGCAGGGCTGCTTTGGGCAAGTCCCCAGCCCTCTTGGAACCTGTTTCCTGTCGTGGTGGAGACTGGCTGTGAAGAGGCGAGGAGGTTCTGAGTTGCACATAGTAGGTGCTCAGTAAACAGAGCTTCCTGGGTCTTCAAATCACAAGGCCCGCCTCCCTGCCTGGCCAGAGACCATGCTCAGCATCAGGGATGTGAAGGTGGACAAGGCAGACCCAAATCCCTGCCCTGGATAGTCACTAGTGAACCTGGGGGACACAGGTTTGTCCCCCAAGAGCAGGTGTGTGGCCGCAGGCTGGATGAACGCTTACCAGGCGTAGGGGTGAAGGGACAGGGACCCTCACCGTGCTTGCAGCAGGCTCTGCCCACCCTGGAAAGAGTAACTCAGAGCAGAGGATGGTGGAGAGGGAAGCATGTTCTCTTCTCAGAAACGGGAATGAGTTGAGGCAAAGCCTCCAGGCCAGGGAGACCTGATGGAACATTCCAGAAACTAAAAAGAGTTGTCACTGGACAAAGAAAGCCCCAGGGACCAGAAAAGGTCAGGCCTCTTAGAATCTGGAAGGTGGACACAAGGAATTTAGTTTTTCCCCTTCCAAGAACAGGAACCCAGGGAAAAGTTTCACTCAACGGGGGACAGAAGCCGATTTGCATCTCAATAAAAAAATTACCCTGGCTCCTGGTGACAAAGAGACAGGGGGAGGGGGGAGGAGTTTGAGAGGAAGGTGGTCTGCTGTGGCTGGGGGGCTGGGGGGCAGGGCAGCCAGAAGGGGTTTGGCTTTGGACCTGGCTCCCGGGGGCGGGGGATCTAAGCTGGGGGGGGAGGCAGGCCTCCAGAGAGGCTGACTTGGGCCAGCCTCCTGCAGCTCCACATGTTTGGATAGTGGTTTCCTGTTTGCTGATCCGCTAAAGAGCCCAGGGCTCCTTGGCTTGAGGCCCAGGTCCAGCCTTTGGAAGCCTCTCCAAGAGGAGAAATAAAGGATCTCTTCTTTGTTTTGCTGTTAAGGTCCCAATTAGTCCTTGGTCAAAGGGACGGCAAACATGAAAGCCGCCCTTTGCAGTAGAATAGATGGATTCCTAGCCGCGGTACCACTGAACACTCCCGAGACTGGACAAGGTAGAAATGTTCTCCCACTTTACAGATTGGTGGAAGCGAGACTATGAGAAGCTAAATAACCGACCCCCAAGGCCAGAAAATGGAAAAGTAAGGTCTGCCTGCTCCCCACGACCTGTGAACTTTCTCTCTTTCCACTTGACTTCCCTCCCCCGCCATTGATTCATGGTTACAAAGTGGCTGCAGAGCCTCCAGCCTTTGCATCTGCTGTTCAGACACAAGAAAGAGGACAGGCAACATTGGGAATGGGGAAATTTTTCCTCTCAAGGGAGACATGCCTTTGTTCCCCAATAGAACTTACACCTATATCTCACTGGCCAGAAATTGTCATGTACGTCCTCCCACCTGCAAGAGAGTCATGTTCTCCCCAAATGAAATCAGAGTTCCATTTGTAAAGAAGAAGAAGAGGAGCTGGGCGCGGTACCATATGCCTGTCATCTCAGCGGCTCGGGAGGCTGAGGCAGGAGGATAGAAAGTTGGAGGCCAGCCTCAGTCACTTAGCGAGGCCCTAAGCAACTCAGCGAGACCCTGTCTCTAAACAAAATATAAAAAGGGCTGGGGACGGGGCTCAGGGGTTAAGCACCCCTGGGTTCAATCCCTGGCACCAAAATAATAATAATTAAGAATCATCAATCTCTGAATGAGCAAATGGACTCTTTGTGGATAGGACTGTGAGCCTGATTGGGGAGCGGCCCACCCCTCCTCTGCAGCAATTACTGGGAGGAAAGAGCCCATCTCTCCCTTGTAAGTGAGATCACGCTAGAATGTTCCAGGTGCTCAGCAGATGTGCCCTTGGGGGACGGGGAGCAGGAGGGGGGAGCAGTGGAAAGACTGGATTCTCTTCAGGAATGACAGCTTGAAGCCATTTGGAATGACCCATCATCTCCTAGTTTCCAAAACCCTTTCCCAGACGACCACCCCCCTAGACGATAACTGTGGGCGCCCTGAGGGGCTTGGTTCAAGTGAGGACACCCCCAGGCCTGGGTGGCTTCACTGGGGATCACATACCCAGAAAACAGAGACTCCCACCTCGGCTGGCTTCCCTCCAAGGACCTGATGGTCTCTTCCTGGGACTTCTGTTGGGGACTTTTTCACAATTTTCACAATTTTCACATGGCCCTTAGACCATGGGTTCTACCCAATCCTTGATCTCTTTAGCTTTTAAATATACCCTCAGCCCTCCTTTGCCCTGAGCCGCCCACTCACGCATTCCACTGACGGAGGGCCGAAAAAATATACAGAAAACCGTTGGGCAGTCATCCCAGCAGCTCGGGAGGCTGAGGCAGGAGGATCGCAAGGTGGAGGCCAGCCTCACTCATTGAGCCTGAGGCCCTAAGCAACTTAGTGAGACCTTGTTTCAAAATTAAAAAATCAAAAGGACTAGGGATGTGGCTCAGTGGTTAAGCACCCTCCTGGGTTCCATTCCTGGTGGGTGCATATATAAATTTATATACATATATAAATAAATTTAAATTCATATGTAAATAATTTTAAATATTCATATATAAATAATTTTATATATTCATATATAAATAATTTTATATACATATAAATAAATTTATATATTCATATATAACTTATATATATATATATATTTATTTAAGGAAAGCCTTACATGCTCAGTACAGATGGAATTTATGTATAAACATATACATAAATAGAGAGAGAGAGGCTGGGGTTGTGGCTCAGTGGTAGAGCGCTTGCCTCGCATGCGTGAGGTCCTGGGTTCGATTCTCAGCACCAACATATTAAATAAATAAATAAAATTATTTTAAAAAAATAAAAATAAATAAATATATGATATTAAATATAGAATTATTCTATAATAATAATTATTATTATTATTCTATTCTAATTATTATTATTCTATAATAATAAATATATAATCATATTTTTATATATAAATTTAATATATATATTTATATATAAATTTAATTTTATATATATATAAAATTTATATATAAATCTATAGACATATAAAATATATACATATACGTAAATCCCGTTGGTACTGAGCATGTGCAGACTTATAATTTTTTCCTTAAACAATCGACTATAACAGTATTCTATTACCATAGCAAGGTCGGTGACATGCACCATTTTTGAAAAATATTTTTGGTCGCAGATGGACACCATACCTTTATTTATTTTATTATTTTTTAGATTATTATTTTTCATATTTATTTTTAATTGTACACCATACCTTTATTTTGTTTATTTATTTATATGGGGTGCTGAGGATCGAACCCAGGGCCTCCCATGACTAGGCAAGTGCTCTGTCCCCTGAGCCCCAGCCCAGGGCACAGACACCATTGCAAACGTGAGCCTCCCCCAGCCTCCACTCTGGGTCTCCTTTGGTACCCAGGAACAGACTGGGCTCTGCAGAAGACCCTCGGGGACAACTGTGCTTATTCTCCTCTGTCCTGGGGCTTGCTGTCGTCGGATCTGAGTGTCCTCAGGTGGCCACCGTCTGGTGTCCCAGTGAG